TATATATATATATATATATATATATTGATCGCTTCTAAAGACGCTGTATGATGTCATACATATCAATTTTATGCAACTTGGTCAAAAATTCAAATCAATAAACCGCGACGTTTTCACAGATCGAAAGCTGGCGTGTGATTGATGCTGTCCAAATTCTGCACACACAACTAAACTAGAAGAATGTACGTAGTGCTATATGGTTTATATTGGTTTTATATTATAGTTCATTTTCGAAAAATGCTAAAAACTGAAACATAACCCGATTCAGGAACTGCTTGGTGATGATTGGCAAGTAACTTCTGATGCGAATATTTAGCGTATTACTTGAAATCCAAAGGTTTCAAACACAATTTCGTCGACAATACAACATCACATTTGAAATTTAGACAGACTAGAGCCACATTTAGCTTTCAGTAATGTAAAATTAAATAAAAAACTAACATTTGTTATATGACAAAAGGATACGCACGCGCGCCTCTGAAATCCAACATCTGATTAAATTTGTCGTTTTTTGAATAGATTGTCATTTTAACCCGAGGTGAAAATGTAGTTGTATGTACGGATAAGTATAATTAATTCGTCTCGCCTAAAGCCTGTTCCCTGTGTGAAATCAAGCTTAGGGTAGATTTGTTAACAGAGGTTGCAATGCTACCTTAGTTTCGTTATCTTCCGTCGAGACCTATGAAATAGTAGATAATACACTTTCTCTAGGCTGATGTGATGCAAACTAACAGCAGAACCCCACAACAAATCCTGAATGCGTTAATGATGTCGTTAGGGTCAACGTTTAATATACTGCAGTGATATTATAAACATATTATCACATAAATACTGCCACCAAAGGCACTTTATGTGTTCCCTAAATATATGAGGTACACGCGACATTAACAAACAATAAGGTGACGTAATTCATAACAATTTCTAAGCGTCTAGTACCGTGACCTTCAGTGCGCCTATAGTGAATTCTCCTCATATCGTATAATCAGCTACTATGCTTTATTCCATATGGTACCAAGCTGCCTAGTACTCTATTCAGACCATTAACGCATTCCCATTGGTAAAGCCTCACTTGTATTGAGTCTTGACAAAAAATAACATCAAAATTACAAAATAAAATATTAACGATGGACGTGCATACAATCCCATATTACGTGGTTACAATGTATAGGCTGATATTCGTTCAGCTTGAATCGCGTTAAAAGTTGCGTTGTTTGTCAGTTTGTGCGTAATGGTTTTGTAATGTGACAATACCTAAATGAGTAAACAACATATCATGTCTAAAAACATGCATATAGACGGAGTATGATTCAGTCTTCGATCACAAATTCGTTTTCCAGCTATCTAACTGTTGTTTACTTATGCATACATGAACATCCTTTTATTGTACTCAAATTTAGTTTTGGCGAAATATTATATAAATTACAAAGTACGCATAAAATTGACAAAACGTGGACACTTCAAAAACACACAACCTAGTACATGAAATAAATCTGATTTTATATATATATGAGTTTACTGCATGTAATATGTGCCTTTATTCTAGACCAATATGGCAGCGACAATCTTGTCGTGAAATGGCGGGATGAAAACCCCATCAGAAAAAAACCCGATGTGCGGCTACCGCAGTTCTCGATTTCTCCGATGATCACACGCAACTGCTCTCATGATATGTACGAGACAGGTGAGAGTAACATAACACGACACCACTATATCATTGATTGCCATCAACCTAAAAATGACTAATTTCATTCTGCAACAAATGAGCAGATATTACGTAAACCATAGATATAAAATAACAAAGGCTTTTAATAACTAATTGGTAAGATAAAAAAAAACAACGACAGCAGTATAAAATGTGGTGGAATACACTGCGCCTATCTATTTATACACGCCACGATGTTTTTTTTCATTTCACGTCGAATCAGACAACATTTACAGATGGAAGTGGCGACGAAGGCAGGTAAACTGACACGGAGTTAACAACAGAGTAGAAAACATGTCTCATATTCCCCCAATTAGGTACAACTCGATGTTTTGAGTTCTTTGAAAAATGAAATCATTGTACCATTCGATCAGGATAATCACTCCAACATCCGTATACAAGACGGCCGCATCCGCCTTAATCCATTTTACCTTCCAAATAAGATTTTCCTTCAACTGCTCCTCATCAAATGTAATTAAGGTGACTCTATGCACATGTAGATATTTAAAACTGTTTTGTCACATAGATCCATGGAGTTCCATTCCAGCGTTTGGTCGAAACAGGGGTTATTTCTACCGAGAAGAGACCCGATATAAAGAGCCCGTTTAAGATGCAAAACAGAGCACCTGTGTCAGATATCGTACTATATATGTATCTTACGATTGTCAACTAAACCTCTAGATAAGATTGTGTTGTGTTTATAATACCCTTCTTCGGTTTCTTCTACGATTTAGGTCAGATTTCTTGTATTGGGATGACATTTGTTATGAGTCGTGGTATCGGATTCTACCTGCTACAGACATATCTGCCAAGCGTTCTAATCGTGGTATTGTCGTGGATGAGCTTTTGGATCGATATTACCTCCACTCCGGCAAGGGTGACTCTGTGTACTACGACTGTGCTGACCATGACAACGACCAGCGTTGGTAATATCGATGGCCTGCCTAAAGTGTCGTACATCAAGGTAATTATGGTCGTTATGAAATTCGTTTGTATCGTGTTTTAATTCAGTTTTTAGTGAGGTACTAGGCGGAATGACGCTATATATACAAACACACAACTTTCAGAGTCAACAAGATTTAAATAGGTTAAGTGAACTTCAATAAGACTACGTGTCATCGCCACAACATTAGTTGGCTGAACGTACCGAGTTATAATCCCAGTCAGGATTCATAGCTCTTGAGGCTATTTTCTGCTCTTCCAGGGTCGAATACATTTGACTAGGCGGTCGAGTACTTTTAACTAGGCACAACCCAAAGGATACTTGTGTAATTGAACTATTCCGCAGAACGGGAGTTGCAATGGAGATTTTATCAGCGTCACTTAAACTTTCTCTACGAAAAAGATATTTATCATTTATAAAGCAACAAGGTCTCATCATTCTCTAATCATCTCGCGTAACTTCAGTATCTACTAATTGTATGTGATGTCTGAAATATTTGATGTCTTTGTTTTCTTTGCTCCTAGGCTATTGACATATGGTTTGCTGCGTGCCTCTCGTTCATTGTTGGTATCTCATTTGAATATGCAATTGTTAACTACTTTTGGACACGTGAAAGGTCACCAACGACGGGCTTTAAGGTCAGTAACGTCGACATGTATACGCCTCTCAACACATAGATAGACACATGGTTAATCCATGAGAAGCCATCGTCGCCTCGCGCATGCGCCAGATATAAGTCCCACATTAACAAAGATGGCGAATTTAATTGTTTTACCGATGAACGCATATAAACAAAAGACACTACAACAGTTCAAAACGGCAAATCATGGGGTGACTGGAACGCATCAAAGCACTCTTAAGAGTAACAGTCGCTATATAATGCAAACCACGACCAGACAATGGAAGAGCACATTGGGTTGCGGGAAAAACAACTGTTTATGAACACAAACCTCGTACATACGTGCCGCGACGACCACCGGTCTTTTTTAAAACATGTGTGTCGGCTTTTTAAGTTAAATTAATTGATTAAACGATTGCGAAGCAAAAAAACAAAACAAAAAAGATAACAATAATGCAAAGTGTTAATGCCATGACGTCATAGTAGGACAATATTAGTTGTTCATTTCTAGTCTAGGCGCGGTGGTCTTGGGGTTGGTGATGAGTTTGGAGAAAGTAAATAATTGCATCAGTGTTTTAATACATTGACTGTTTGGCTCCAAGTTACAATTGTTAATTAATGAACATCTTCAGTACCCCGCCTTGAGTCGCTGCACGCCATTACGTTATGAAGTGTGCTCACTTAATCTAAATCAGACATTCGTGGTATGAATCTCCGTTCTTGGTCACACCTGCAGGTCGTCTACATTGTCCACCCCAGACCGCAAGTCTACAATTTGTCATCGAACACTAATAAAGAAGTGATTACAGATATATTATTAAAAATATCTCCAAGTGATGCATCTGATGAATCTATGTCACATGCCCCGCTGCGGATTACAAAACATTAGCTAAGAAGTGAATTTACGTGAAACAGTCCTTGTGGGCAAAACATCAATTTGGAGAATAACGTGGACATTCTTTATGTATGACCATACTTAAAAATTTAAAAGCGTAAGCAATAATCAAGAAATCCCGATTCCCCAAGCTACACAAATATTGTACGGTATTCCGCGCGTCGAACCAAGCTTACATGCATCGGAGCACAAGAAAACATTGAATTTGCTTCGCATGATTGCGGATAGTCATTTTGCTTTGTTAAAAAAACCCACAATTTTAAAAAACAATGTTGCTAATTTATGACCGCAGATAAAATCAATTATTTAATAGTCATTATTATACATCTGTCACCTTAACGCCATAAGTTACAGCGTCCCGTAATTTTGAAGTATTACACTGGGTATTTTCATTCCACCGTATTAGGAAATTCCAAATATGGAACGATTACGAGCGTAAGCGTCCTCTAATAATGAAAACAAACATGGCAGCCCCTAGAGTTTGACCGGTAAAAAGTTCGCTCAATTGGTTCTAAACTTTTTGTATTTCGGCATTCCCATGATGTATTCTTGTGGGGAAAAGATGTATAATTATAATAAGGTTATAAACGAGGATACCGAAAAGCATGCACTCAGACAGCACACGGTCGACATTCCCGCTATACTGCCTTCGTGCATATTTCTCGGCATCCTCGTAATAACCTCAATACATGCCATGTATTATTATATCAATATATATTTATTTGACATGTCCACGCCCACGTTAATTATAACCACTAAATATATTTTTTTAGAATACGACAGGAATTCCAAGGATTGCGTTCGATGAAATATATTTTTTTCAAACAACTAGATGCTTACATTACATTACATTACATTACATTACATTACATTACATTACATTACATTACATTACTGTGATGATAAAACGTAGTAGCGAAGTAACACATTAAAAACCTATTTCGAAAGTTTATATTCACGCGACTAGCAATGTTAACCAGATCAGTAGTCGGAACAGTTTTCACTACTGAATATTATTTTATAAAATAGGAAGTAATCATGTTTGTTTAGAAAGTTGAACATTGAAATACTGACTCTTGGCATGAATTTTACTATTAATTATTAACACATGTAACAATGTGTCATGATTGGCTAAGTCACTTTAATAAAACAATTTCCCAGATTCACGGTTTATTGCAAACATGAAACAATTTCCCTACTAAATTATATTTGGCTTCATTACAGGATATTAAGATATCGAAAATGTGGCGCCAGTGCATTGATGCCGAGATGACCTCCTCGATGCGTTCGGATTTACGAGAAAGACGCGACAGTACGGAGAAGAGCCATCCGTTTGACACTTCCAGGGCCACCCTGGATGGGGAGATATACGGCAACAGGTCACGACGTGCTATGGAAGTCAGGGTGAGCCCGGAACCTCCGACTGTGAATGAATTTGAAATACGCACGCGCCAACTGGCCCGTGATATCGATAGAACCGCACGTTGGGGATTTCCCATGGCGTTTATTCTGTTCATCATCGTCTACTTCTCGTATTATCTGCGGGGTCACAATGTGTTTTTCGAGTGAACGCCACGCGATCACGTCACCATGAATGCGGATCTAAAACCACAGCCAGACTAATTGATCTTACGACTTTTACATATGAACGGACGACCAAACTTGTTATTTACTTATTAATGCTGCCAGCAGATTTAACAGTGTAGGATAATGATTAAAACACACTAACTTCACTTGCTCATTAAACGACAGAATAAGACGAACAAACGTTGGAGCATGGGACATCCGGGTATAATTCTGTATTATATTTATATATATATTCACCAGTGGGGTGTTTTTGTCAGGTCTTAATTCTGGACTTGCGAATTGAATATGACTATGTGAATGTGTATTTGGTGTCTCTCGGTCTCATCTACTGTTCATTGTGACTTTTAAGGGGAAAACACTCACGCGTATCATACGTGTGCCACATTTAATATATTCAAGAGACGTATACTAATATAATACAACTTTTGGATAATTACATGGCTGTACAAATATGGAATATGCGGATAATGAAATAAAATATGTGGTGCCTGATGTAGAAAACTATAAAAAAGAACAGAAATGTGCTAAACAATATCTACAATTGGACTACAGCATTTTGCAAACGATGGAGCTCAAAGAGTGTTATAACGGCGTGACTACATGGTTCTAAATGATGACTGTGCCTTTACGCAAAACACAGCGTTATTGAAGAACACGTTCGTATAGGACCATTAAAAAGACATTTGCTTAGTAAACCGAATGAATGATCTACAAGTTGACATAAAAAGTGTTTTAGCACTGAAACTTGATGCTGAGAAATGCTTTTGAGGCACATGTACTGATGTACTGTGTTGTTTTGGGATATTATGCAGAAAGCTTACCTGTATTGCCATACTAGCAACGATGTTTCCCCCCAAGAATGTAAATTAAACGTTCGGTGTACTTGTCGACTGTCATAATGCTGTTCAATAATGCTATGATTGATAAGGTGATTGATTGATTTTGTGCGTTACTAAGCGATGGCGATGGATGTATGTGATTTAGTAGTACAGTTTGTGAAATTTAAACATGTTAACTTTCAGTGAAATTTGTTTGAATGATTATGTGACTAATCGGTGGAATAGTTGTTAAAAAAAACAATACAATGTACGTTAGATATGTAGGTCAATTCAGTATATAGATAATATATTCCCTCAATCACTTAATGCTGAATAAATTGCTACATTTGCAATATCGAATAATGTGTATATACATTTGTTTGCAAGAAATGGCGACGAAATGTCTCCATGAGGCTATATAGTGCAAGTAATGTTATCCGACTTAAAGTAAAAAAATGTATATATATAAAACGATTATCATATTTAAAGTCAAGGTTATGTTCCCAGTTGCGTAATTTCTATAACAATAAGTTCACATACTTTAAAATAAGGAATGTATGAAAATTGTGAAAATAAAATAAACCACATGTTTTTGCTACCATCTTCTCGAAATACGATCTAACACCTATTCGGACAATCTTGTCGGATGGGCATCTGTATTTACTGATTCGCACAACATACACATGTTTTGAGATCTATACCATCGTTAAACGCAACTAGTACATACAAATATTGCGAACCACTGACTTTTGTTAGATAGCATTATTTACAGGCCTTTCACGTGTGTCTTTGTAACAAATGGTGCACATGATAAAACCCTTATGGATGGTAGCTAAGTTGTATCGAATATTGAATATGGATTTCCAAATGAAATTGTAATAAAGTGGGATGGATTCCCAAATTATATGTCAGGGCTATATTTCAGTATATATATATATGTCAACATTTCGAAGAACTCTATTCAATGACATATAAACATTAAAAATAGTGGTTCTGATATCCGCTGTTATTATGTGTATGCTTTTTTATGAACATAACATTTTATGTCAGTGGTTATGATAAATGAAGCCATGAATAATATCAACAACCATAATTCATTCGTATAATCTGAAAAAATCACAACGCTTATCCGCGTGTTTTACCATCTCTGTTGTTGTAATTGTTTTTGTTTCTAATTTGGTCCTATCTACTTTAGTGGCTCATTTATCTTTCCATTGTTTCTACTTTTCTTTTCGAATTGGTGTGATTTGGGTTTATTGTGGTTTGGGTGTGGCAAGATGGCCGCCACACAATCAACATATCAACGTCTTTTGTCTAACTTAACTGTCACACTGTCAGATGTAATAATGTTGACGGTGTTTCAGTTAAATCATACGTCGAAGCCATTGCGCAGAACATTGGTGACGGGAGGATTGTTGCAGCGCCATGAATGATCCAAAACAGTTGTCGTTGTGTCGATGTAGATATTATATCAGCGTCCGGCATTGCTATTAATTGAAAGTTTGTTGTTGTTAAACCTGTTGTCCGATTTTTTTTAACTTCTCTTTTTAGTGTTATCATTAGCGTTATACGCCCATTCCGTTGGGATGTATACGGCCATCACTAAAATATGTTGTTTCTTTCAAGTGTACGACAAGTGTACATTCTTTGCCAGGTCAATCGGAGGAACGGGTATACAATATTTATGTAACAACTGATGGGATGTTTTCAATGTGGATCAAAAGGGCCTAGAAACATTAATATATTTTAAATAAGAAAGAACGATACTGACAATTAAACAGTCCAGAAGACCAACAGGCTGTTGAAATGCAGATAAATGGCAGTTTTGAATCGTTTAAAACGATTTAAAGAGATCATACAAAATACACAAGATGAAAACAAGTCTGGTGAAAAGGTAAAAATAACAAACAGGTAAAATGTGTTAGAAATATAGAAAATGTCTTGTGGTAATCCCAAAATAGTCAAGATGACATAATTAGGAATACGCCAACCGAGCCTGAAAATATGGATACCATGCAGTTCGAACACTGATACATTTACTGACACAGCTGCGAGAAGCCTCAATGTTAATGACAAGGAGGCAGTTTTAACCCGCCCTTCAGCTGATAGGGAAGTCGAGCCCCGTCTCCACAGGTCAGATTAGTGTAGACTAGGTGCCGTTTATTATCGCGAGACTTTTACAAATCTACGAGTAACGGATTAATGAATCGGTCTTCAGAGCTGAATTCTACAGAATTCTGTACTGTCTACGTATTTGTATTGAGAAGGCCATTCTGAGTGGCGGAGATTAGGGCTGCACATATCCCGAATTTGTCAGAGTCCCCTCCTTTGTTATCCGTATTCTGGGGAGGCGACTTATGTTTCAAAGAAAGTTTTTCTTTTGTTCCCCAGTTTTAGACTGGGCCGGTGAGATTGTACCCGATATTCACAAGTCCAGGCACATTTTTTAGTTCACATAAACATCTCTCAAAAACAAGTTATCCAACAAAGCCCTGTTTGGTCTTCACGATTCTGGTTATATAACACTCATTACTCACTTTTGGCGCAACGTTTTCAGCAAACAAGAACTCAAACTTGGTGGGACATAGGGAAGTTAAAAATCAAACTCAACAATATTGCGCGTAAAAGAAAGTAAACTCAATAAACTAAAAATAGACATGGAAAATGAAATCAATATATTGAACGAAATCTGATAGATGAACCATCTTTGTTAACTGCGTAAAATAAAACAAACAAAAATGTTGCCTAATCTTACAAAAAGATAGTTGTACCTGGAATTCTGGTCGCTTGTTGCCGTGATCTCTCCTCAAGCTGCATCAAAGATATCGATGGATTGTTTCCTATCTCATTTAAACGTATAAAACTAGTATAAGATTGTTACAAAAGAATTGTAATTACGTCGTCGTCCTAATTTTAGGGAGAGCCGTATACGTACATCGTGATCAAAGCCAGTGTCCCAAATTGTCATATTCTTAATAATATTAATTCACGTGTCATTCTAACGACTTTTCTAATTCTACTGACATTCCAATTGGTATAGTTGCTAGTCACCTAAGAAAGGTTTTAAATATAGTCCCCATACTTATTTACGTAAAACGCTGGAAACACTTGGTTACTCTTTTTCTATTACATAAAATTATCTCGAAGAACTATGCCGGGTCTTATATTACCAAACTCTAGAGGAAGGCACTGCACGTTGATATCGTAAGCAGATGATGTTCAATTTTTAATCACAGAAGATAAATGGTAACTCAGTAAGTGGAAAAACATTTATGAACAAGCATTAGATGTTCAATTCTACTTTGCTACACCTGAAGGACTTAAGGTTGGACGGTGTCGTGTTCGTAAAGACGCGCCACTCGGTATCAAGCTGGAAAGGACTGGGCTCAAGCTACGTTGTGTCTACTTGGGTAACGATGACACTTATAAACTGGCCAACAATAGTTCAGAAAATTGAAAATAAAATTGACTTATTGGATGGCTTTTGCCCTAACATGTCATAGAAAAGGCGTACCGCTGTTATTAATCAATGTTTTGAACCCAATCTTGTTTACCGTTGTACCGCTCTTTAATGTAAGTCCTACAACGTTAACTATATTCAAACTATAACCACACTAGTTTCTGCTTTACTGATTATATTCAGTTAGGAACCTTTTAGCGACCGATATTGTACAATTTCAAGTATATGCGTTCTACACTGATCCGCAAATGTTACATGACTGGGCCAGTACCATGTTTGAAGAACCCCTTGATCATATCTCTCTAGTTGTACACCCGGAAATGCGCATCATCAACCACATGATATTTATCACAAGACATGACTCAATTGTAAAAAAGCTAGACAACATGTCGACGTGTTTCAGGTTTCGGTGCCAATGGGTGA